CCAAGCTACTCAAGACTAAACTCTAGCTTCACCATCCCTGCAGTTCCCTTGACTGTTTGGACCAGGATGTTTGACATAATACAGTTGTTATTAATGGCAAGAAGCTTTCTGAAGCATGAAAGCATGCACTGTTTCATTTCATACCTCGGAGCAGTAAACCAGCTTGTACTCTACTTGCTCCTCTTTAGGCACAAAAATCATCACATTGCCCCCATGGCATTAAAGGTCGAAACCAAAAGGCTTACCTAATAGTAAACCCTTAGCCACCGCAAAGATCAGATAAGAAAAGAACAGAAGGTAGTCTTTTCCAGGGGGCTAACCACCATGGGCCTGACTATAAATGGAGAGAACGTCTGCTATGAGAGCATCTTAGACTAAGTAGAACAGACACCGCTCAGAGGGCAACCTTTGAAAATTTACAATGGTATCACATGTGGAGTTGCAAGACAGCAAATCTAAAACAGACAAGTAAAATAGTTTTACAGCTGCAGAGTGCTGCCAATTACTGCAGATGCCCTGAAAAAATAAAATGAAAAAGAAAAAAAGCAAAAACTGTAAAAATACTAAAGACAGAAAAGAATTGTGTTGAGATTTATCAAAGAGTCCAACATAAAGCGACGTTCTCTTAGTAGAAGAATTTGTACTCGGTATGAATAGAACAGCCAGTTATGATTGGAAGAGGCTATGTTGTTCAGGTATATCAGAATGGCTCCAGAGCACTAAATTAACATTGGACTGATTCAGCCATTTCTGTACATATTTAAAGCCATTATCCTATGGTACTTTTGGAGTCTATCACTCTTTTAACCTATATTATGTGCTTGGTTGCCTGCATGCAAATAGATATTTTGATATGTGTTGTGTAGGTGGTGAATCCTGCATAATATACAGCATAGCTGTACTGCTGTGCTGGGCAGAGCTGTGCTTCTTGTACTTAATATGCAAATAGCAATTGTTGCACCGTTTCAATACTATCAAAAATATTAAACTGCAAACTGCAGTTTCAGTTACTTCAGGAGACAATGCTGTGAAACTGCTGTGGTCCTGGATTTGTGCTAAACAACTTGTAGTTCAATATAATGTGACTCTCATATAAAAATAACTATATACCTTCGTTTTTCTGTAAGAGATGTTCTTTCACAAACTCATAAAAAATGCCAAGGGTTGTTTTCATAACTGTTTTAGTAGGAGGTCTTTTTGTTAATCTAGGAGAGTCAAATAAATCTGTGGTACTAACAGCCTTTCACTGGCAGAATCAGAACAATTGCTATCAGAACTTTTGAAGATATTCTACCATTAGTTTCCGATTCCTCAGGAATTTTCTGGGCAATACTAAATTGAAGTGAGGGGAAGAAGTCCTTACTCTGACTCAAAAGGACCTCTAGAGGTTTGTGAACAGTGTCAACAGGAACCTCCTGAAACTCAATAAGGTCAAATGCAGAGTTCTGCTACCTTAGCAGAACAGCCCCATGCATGAAAACAGGCTAGGGACTGCATGCATGCATCACAACCCTTCTGGGAATGAACTGGGGATCGTGGTGGGTAAGAAGCTGGGTAGGAACTCACAGTGAGCCCCCATCAGAAAGAATGGCATCTGGTATTAGGAAGCTGCACTAGAAGAAGTGTGACCATCAGTGGTGAAGCTTCCTCTGGAGTACTGCATGCAGGTTTAGGCTCCTCCTGTTCAAGGAGGTTGCTGAGAAGCAGGACAAAGTCTGCAGATGGCTGTTCAGGATGATCAGGGGCCTACAGTTAGAGAGTTGGTCTTGTATAGCCTGGAGGGAAATAAGGTACCAGGTATTAGCTGCTTACAGCTACTCCCAGGAAAGGAAAAAAGATGGGCAGTGGCAGGTGACACAGCAAGGAGCAACAACACCAGCTATGGTGTGGCAGGTTCAGTCTGAACTCCAGGAAAAAAATTCTTCACTAAGAAGATTGCACAGGAACAGCATAACTGGGAATGTGGGAAAGTATGCACACTTTCAGGAATTAACCTGACAAAGCCTTGGCTCAGCTGATGTTGTATTGGTGATGTTTTTGCTTTGGGTTCCCTGTTGGACTGCTTAACCTCTACAGACAGCAATTCCACCAGTATGACTATGATCCTTCGATCTGCTCACCAGCTCGTAGAGGTAAGAGCTTTTGTACTCTCGGCAGTCACAAAGCTATTCTAGATTGTATATACATATGGGCAATGAGCTCAATACTCATCTCCCAGAAGAACTGTATTACATGTTTCTCATTAGAATTATTTCAACAATTCATTTTTCAATTTTACCTTCTACTTCAGGCACTTCAGGCACATAGTGTCAAAAATAAGGGAATAAGGCTGCATGCAGTAAATTTTCTGCCTCTCCCAATAGAAAAGTTAATACAGGATGATTGTTGTATTGAATAAGGTAGGTTAACCACTGTTGGATTTTCTGTGCAATGTTAACACCTAACAATGCCAAAACAACACTCAGCAATCCCCAAACATCTTTCAGTACTGTGTCTCCTGCTACCCACTGTAAGAGTGAGTCACTGCCTGAATGAATGGGCAGTCTAAGGCAGTCAAAGAGCAGAACAAAGAGAGTATGTATAAAGTGGAAAGCTGAGATGAGGAGATATGTCAAGATTTCCTGAAGATTGCTTAGAATGGGGAAGGCTGAACTACTAGATAAATGCTGCTCTCCTAAGGTCTAGCTCAGTACTACCACAACATAGCAATGTTTCTATAACCATAAAAACTCTGTGGTGCTTCCTAAAAAAAAAAAAAACATATATATATATATATATACTGTGTATACATATATAGTGGAGTTTTCAGAAAATCTTATTCTTCAGCTTCCCTGGGAAAACTGACTCCTTTGTAATGCTTTTGATGAAATGTCCTGGTTCTCTGCCCCTGCTGCTTCCTACACAGAGAAGCTCCCACAAATCATTTCATAAAGAACTGCAGACAAGTTTTGGTGTCAGTTTTATTCCGTTCACTGCCTTTGAGAATTTATACGCATTGCTCAGGGCAGAGGAACAATTCATTGGCAAATTACTGAAACTATAATTCAGGTTTGGATATTCTAACAGCAGTCATGCCTCACTCATTTATAAGGGAGGAAAAACAATAGCCTCAAACAAACCTGTGGATTTAAAGCTATGGCTGGCAGTGCACAAACACAAGAAAGAGTCCCCTGTGGGTCCTAAGCAGGTTCATTTCTTGGTTTTAGCAGATCTGACAGACTTCTGTTGTACTGTTCTGTGGTTTCCATAAACCAAGGGTGAACACCAAGGCCAGACTAGTCACATTGTTTCCTCGTTTAGGAATTCCAGAATCTCACCTCTGTGTTTCTGCATATTGAGGTAACACACTGCCTACAAGGAGATTAAGTGAGTGCACTTCAGCTGCCAGTAGTAGGTACATTACAAAAGCAAAATCAACCATCCCACACAGCTGGAGAGAAGCATAGATAAATCTTTTGAGACAGTAGGGATGTGTTGGTATGGATACTGCAATCATATGCACAGTTATGCGTTTTCACATATCTTTGCAATTACAGAGAGTTTTTGCAAAGCTTAATGAGATTAGGGCAATTTCCATTTTTCTGTTATGTAAAACAGAGCAACTTTACACAATGCATGTGCCCCACAGCCTACAGTACTGACTGTTGTGAGGTAGCAAATTTTATTGCTGATCTGGATGACTGTACCTTCAGTAAGTTTGCAGATGATATCACATTGGTTCATCTGCTTGAATAGGAGTGCCCTACAGAGGGGTCTGGGCTGGTCCAATTGTTCCATAAGACATGCTGCAGGGTCCTGCACTTTGGTCACAATCCCATGCATCACTGCAGGTTTGGAGCAGAGTTTTGGCCATCTAGCTGCATAGAGAAGAAGGATCTGCAGGTGTCAGCTGACATCCACTGAACAGAAGCAAGCAGTGTGCTCAGGTGGCCAAGAAGACCAATGGCATCCTAGCTTTTATCAGAAATAATTCTCTCAGCAGGAGCAATAAAGGAAGTGATCATCCCCCTGTATTCAGGGGGATATATACTCTGGTGAAGCTGCACCTTGAGTACTGCGTTCAGTTTTGGGCCCCTCACTACAAGAAATGTATCGAGATCCTGGAATATGTCCAGAGAAAGGCAACAAAGCTGGTGAGGGATATGGAGCACAAGTCTTATGAGGAGCAGCTGAGGGAGCTGGGATTGTTCAATCTGAAGAAGAGGAGAGGGAGAACTCAGGGGAGAACTTATCCCTCTCTACAACTACCTGAAAGGAGGTTGTGGCCATGTGGAGGTCAGCCTCTTCTCCAGGTAACAGCAATAGAACAAGAGGGAAATGCCTCAAGTTCACCATGGGAAGTTGAGGTTGGATGTTAGGAAAAAATTATTCTCAGGCAGTAGAAAAGGCTGCACAGGAAGATTTTTTATTCACTTTTTGTCCCTGGAGGTGTTCAAGAACCTTTTGGTACCAAAGGGACATAGTTTGGTGTGTAATATTGGTGGTGATGGGTTGATTGTTGGACAAGGTGATTGTAGTGGTCTTTTCCAACATTAATGATTCTATGACTCACTGAATCTATGAAATTATGTATACCCAGTCTTGAAAGGGAGGTGACCTGTACATGTGTAAAATATGGCCAGACAAAATCATGGTAGAAACAAACCATTCACAGCACATAAATCTAGAAGCACCAGTTCTGCTTCAGAAAGTCTGTTGAGGGATGGCAATTTGCTGTAAGCTGTTTGCAGTCAGAAACTACTCACATTCAGGGAGAGTGAGGATAGCCCAATAGCACTGCGTAGGGGATGAGAGATTGCTGAGATGGTGAGGATTCCCTGTGTGAATATCATTATATCAAGAGAAAATCCACTACAGACTCTAGTCAAATCTTTTCCTGATTGACTTGTCAAACAGTTCCTTGAAAAAAAGCGGAGTTTATATCTCCCAGCTGAATAACAGTAAATGCAAACCCCAAATTATGTAATATAAGAATGAAAATTTACAGTGTGAAAAAAAGCTACAGTGAGTCCCCACTGACTTTTATTGTTATGCTTGCTAAAACATGGAGGTTTTTATATAGCAGTGTGAATTATTCCAACATAGACATACAAGTGACAACATTTCTTCATTATTTTCACTTTTCCCATACTAATTGCAGTAAACATTTAAAACACGCATTCTAGAAGATGAAAACTCTTGCTGGGAAACTCAAAACTTCTTATTGTTTGTCTTCCTTCTTTTCCAGTGGCAACACTATAGTAGTGGCAAAACGTCTTTGTCCTGTTCCTTAAATAAGTGCAATCCTTTCCCTGTGGAGTTAGGGTTCAGAAAAATGGTTGCTTGTGACTTTGCTTACCAAATCTTTTCTCCACAGAGAATTATTTTCATGCTTCAGAGCACTTTTCATATTCTTCAATGCTTTCATTAGTGTTTCAGTGATACAGCCAGAACTGGAGTGAACTGAATTATCTTCATCGATATCAGTGATTCAAAGCTTAGTATTAATTACTATTAATATGCCCCATACCGACTTTTTGTTGCATTGTGTATTAAAATGATCTATTGAACGATTTACTGAATTCAAACACTTATTTTCACAAGTCAAAATTATAAGAAATGCCTGTTGATGCTTTTTTTGGTACTTCTTTTTAGGGGGTGGAACATTCTGAATCTATTGATGAGTTTGAAGAGTATGGCGATAAGTCTGCTTTTTTGTAGACTGCTTGTTGCCTTCATAAGCCAATTGATCTGAACAATCTGCTTCATGCTGGAGCATGACTCTTTTTCAGTGTTAACTGTTATTTTACCTTTGTTATTAAATCACTCTCTAATTGAGGTATATTTGATTAAATCATTTTAAAGACCAAACAAACAGCTCCAAATTTGATTAATTTGCAATTCATGATTTACGCTGAAGTCAGAAGAGGCTTTGTTTAGCAGCAAATTAATATTAAACAATGCAAGTTCATGCTCATACAGTATCACTGAGAACCCAGTTGAGAATATGCCATATTTCAATATTTTCAGGCTAATAAAGAACAAGTCATCAAATGTATCAGTTTCTTCTTGATTGTACTGTAAAAACTTCACGTTGATTTCATTGTAGCTGCTGAGATGCAAAATTTGAAATCAATAGAAGAGGAAGGTCCATGCTTCTGATAATGCAAACAGTCACCCTAAATATTCTCCTCTTTTTTTTTAATGAACTCCATTGGGTGAGGTGACAGATCATGACCAGGGACTATACCAGCAGTGGATATCTCTAAATATAATTATTGTTCATGGCAATTGTTATTTATCTTCCTGAAAGTGAGAACCTTGTTTTAAGGATGGTCATGAAAGCTCCTTTCATGGGAAAGAAAATAGGCACCTCAAGAAGACATTTGTCTGATAATGCTAAGACAAATCTTTCTTTTAGGAGAAACTTACAACACTAGGTTAAAGCAGTTCCTTCCTAAATGGCTGCAGTGTGGTGGGATACATCTCGGCCTCTATACCTGTACATACAGAGAAAGAAAAAAAGCTGAACTTACTACAGGCTGAAGTTTAGCAAGGGGGATAATATTCTTAATGGAGAATACTTGAAAATACATCACTGATAACTCACCCATAGTTGTAACAACAGGACACTAAATTGCTATTTATAGAGAAGCATATTATCATTTGTCCCACTCAGCTGAGTGACCTTGGAATTTTTGCTCATCAGACCCTTGAAATTTCATTTATTGCCGAGTCTCTGGCAAGGAAAGGAGTTCAGCTACATGCTCTGCTTGCTAATGTGAACAGTAGGAGCACTTTTTTGTTACAGTGTTCTAGCTCTACATTTTAGGCTTCTTACTATTGTTGACAGCAGGGTGTTACTGATAGTTCCACTTTCTAAAGAAAGGAGAAGCTACTGAGTCTCAAGCTAGCACCACTGTGCTACTAAACTTTCTTTCGTCCTTATTCCCTTCTTTCCCCTTCTTTTTTTAACTTGTCTTTCCCCCTTTCCCCCATAATTTTTCCTCAGTGTATGTAAGTACACTGGATTTATAGAACCATGTGGGGTGGATCCTGTTCCTTTTAGGGCAGGGTGTAACAACCCACAATATTAATATGAAAATGCAGATATAAAAATTCTGTACAGTTCAGAGATCTTTCTTGCAGGATAACCTCCTGCAAAACTCATAGTGTTGTGTAGGAAATAACCATCACTGTCTTTGGATTACAATGAAAATTCCTAGCCACATTTTCAGTTAGAGCCTCAATATGGTGATAAGCACAGCTTGAATGCAAAGAGGAAAAGTTGCCTTGATAATTTCAGGATATTCCCTCATCTTTTTCATACTACCTTTGAATGTTTCAATGATTCTAGTGCAAAAGATTGCTTTTGTCTTTTCAGTTGAAAGAAAATGTTTTGTTATGAATAGATAAAAAGGGGAGAATGTACTTCTGTTAGGTCCTGAGAAAGTCAAAGTCCCGGTGCAGTAGAAGAAATGCAGTTCAGTTACATGTGATGACATCATGTGGTCAGACTGATGCATGAAGATGTTGTTTCTGAAGCTTTCTATCCCAGCACTCTTACTATCCCAGAAAGCAGATGGTATCTTATCACTTCTAAATGGACACTACTAACCAGTGCACACAGTTGAGGGGGGTTCACTGTTGCCCCTCTATTCTGAGCAGAAAACTTTTTGTTGTTTTCAATCCAGTGCAGAAGATTATCTTTTTGTTTTGTTTTTACAAAAAAGTGCAATTTCCCACATCATGGAAAACTGAGTTTCCAGACAGTTTCACATATAGTCAAATGCACAGACATAGTGGAAAAAGAGGCTAGGGCACTCTAACTCTTGCATGACTGTGCAAAAGTAATTACATCCTTCCTAGTAATGCACATTGTGTATAATTGCATATAGTCCTTAAAAATCAGACCTCAACATAAGAAAACCCAGATGAGTAGTCCTGCCAATGAGCCACCAGTGGCAATGTGTGACTAAAGTTTTTTTATCCTGAAATTCCCCTAATTAAGCACTTTAATTAAAGTGCTTGGACATTCCTCATTTACAAATGACTATACTCTCAGCACAGGCCATAGGACACCGTTCTTCAGTAATTTCATATTTGCATCTGATCTCCAAAGCAGCCAAATCACCTCTTTCCAGAACTGCAGCATGCTCCCACAGAGTATATTCCTACAGATATTCCCATTTGTTCTTTTCATACTGCAGTCACTTCATTGCAGTAGACCACTTGATGCTCCACCTCACTCTTTCACTCACAGGCCATAATGAGAGTGTTTTTTGATACTAACTTCATGTAGATATTCAAGTCTGTCTTGTATGTAGACAACAGTAATCTGTTACTCAAACTGGGATTCCTGTTGGAAGCCAGGTGAGGCTATCAAGACGGTGAGCACATAGCTGCCCCACATATATGGGGTAAATCCTTCAGTCCATTGTAAACTGTCTTAACATTTTCTGCCAGTTGGTTTTACCTGCTGGTTGTTTGCAACGATTTCTTTGAATGGAAAAGGAAAAATATGTAAGGTGGAAATTTTTCTTTAAGCACTTTGAGGAACTTCATCACGTAACACAGTCAAGCAGAACTGAAGATTATCTCAGAAAACTGTTATAGCTAATTCATTCACCACAGCTTGCAATGGCATTGAGAATGGAGATGTAGAAAGATGTGCCTGCAACAAGTCTCCAAGAAAGGAATGAGTGCTTTGTGATTGAAAGCTAGGCCAGAATTTTCGCACAGAGAACAATCTAAGAATCTGTGTTTAGCTACTTGTTTTTCATGAAGCCTTCTCCATGACCCACAGCAGGAAAGGAAAGCACACTTAATATGTTTCCCTCCTGGCTCTTGAGCATGCGAACCTGAAACCTGTCAAAAACTCCAGAGGGATTCTCTCAAAACTACTTAAAGTAATGTAAAAGGTCACTGTGGCCCTACAGCTCTGCCCTGCTGCTCTGATGCCAGGGAGTTTGAAAAGGACATTCCCATTCTCACAGCCTGATGCCACTGATACCAGCAAAACATATTTTCCTTCCATGTTATTAGTATTCTTGAATGAAGCTTACTGTTTTCCCTACTCATCACAGAAAATATATAGGTTAGAGCCACAAAGACTTACAAAAAACCACTGAGATTGTACTTTTATGAAGGTGTTTACTCTTTTTCAGCATATACCCCACTCACTTATTTAATTCCTGTAATTTTCAGATCAGTTCTCTACATTTCTCGTTGTTTTCTCCTTTTCTTTGTCTCATGCACTGTGTAATGCATAGTCTCTGTAGACTCTCAGTATTATTTTCTGTAATGTCTACCAAAGGGCAAACTACTTAAAGTGCAGCATAATCTTATCAAGCCTCACTTCTTCATTTTTAAGAAGTATATATGAAGATAACTAAATAGTATGGCACATGGGGCCTATTCATAACTTAATCAGGTAGTTTCAAATTTTAAACACATTATTCCAACAGCAGCTTGTACAGATAGTCACTAACCATTAAGGAAAACATACATCCCTTTTGCTGCCACCAACCACATTCTCTTTGCTTTATGGATCCATGGAGAAATTCTGGCTGTAGGCACTTGTTCCTGTCATACAGTTTAAGCTATTCTCTGCCAGCAGCTCGAAGGCTGTATGCAGAACATCAGATCTTGAGAAGTAAGAGCTCCTGGGGTGCTCAGAGGGAGGTCCTCCTGCTTACTACTCCTCAAGAGATCCACGAAGGATGTGGAAGGATATTTCACACACAAAAGCGGCATCAGCCCAATAGCAAAGATTGCTCTACCTGTGGGTGCTCTTCAGGAATATTTTTATTTCATTCTTTTGACCATTATTTTGAAGACTTAGATTGTTTCCAAATGCATCTACAAATGCATTTCATACCAACTTCAAACAGCATGTTGGGATAAAACTGTGACCCCACATTTGTCTCTGCTTTCCAATGTCCCATTCTGAAAGACAGCTTTTTATTTTTCATTAGGAGTCCAGATACTTGAACTCTAAAGAGTCAGTACTCATGATTTGAGTTGAAAGAAAATTACTACTGCAAGCTGGCCTTGCAAACCCACTAAGCCATTTGCTTTGGCAGGGGGGTTGGACTCAATGATCTCTGGAGGTCCCTTCCAACCCCTACAATTCTGTGATTCTGTGATTCTGCCTGCTGTAGTACTTGTGCACAGCCTATCTTTGTCCATCTTACATGGCAGCAAGCATACACCAAATTACATAAATACGTACATACAGTTTATTCACTCTTTCACTCGCTCCTTTCAAGTCTATACTTTGCATGTGCTACTTATGTATAGCTCCTAGTATAACTGCCCAGGGCCCCATCCAACCTGGCCTTGAGCACCTCAAGGGATGGGGCAGCATAGCTTCTATGAACAGCTGAGCCAGGGTCTCACCGCCCTCTGAGTGAAAATTTTTCTCCTAACATCAAACCTAAATCTCTCATCTTTTAGTTTAAAGCCATTTCCCCTAGTCCTATCGCTATGAGACTGTATAAAAAGTTGGTTCCCTTCAAACATGAGGCAAGACATTAGACCATTTTTAAAATCATGTCTAATTTCCCTTTCTCGTGAGCCATGTTGTTTGTTTGGTCGTGGTAGCTATTGAACAGTACATGCTTACAGCTTTGAATGTTGATTTCTATACAAGATAATTATGCTATAATCAGGTATAGAAGACAGTATTCCAGAGGGAAAAAAAATTGCATATAAAGAATCCTGGAAGATAGCACTGTTTGTTTTTTTTGTTTGTTTTGTTTTGTTTCTTTGTTTTTTGGTTTTTTTTTTTAAATTAATTGCTGTCTGTGGCCAGTTCCTTTCTGCTCTGCATTAGTGGTAAAACATGAATATTTTCTTACAAAACAGTGCTTATTTGAAAACAGTTTTATGTTACTCATCGGGCTTAACTACATTTGATGCTCTTAACAGCTGGACATTTACTGCACAGTTCTAAAATTTACCATGAACAAGACTGTAGGCATAACTCAAACTACAACAAGCAAAATAAGGCACATTTGAGAGCCATATTAACCACATCTTTCTGTCCCAGAATATACATTTCTAAATCTTGTTCTCAACTTTGACTCTCTTTATAACTGTCCTTCAGCACAGTCACTAAGCATGATTTGCAGTGCTGAAAACAATTATCTACATTTTATCTGTTTTTCTCAGGAGCACAGAAATGTGGCATCTTTCTAGAGAGTAAGCCTGCAAACACAGAGCACGCTGAAGAGAAAATAATGCTGAACATCACCTGGCAACATGCTTAACAGTAACAACATTTGCTTAAATATGTATAAACATTTCCTGATAACAATCTGTCTGGAGTGACCCTTTACCTATAAGTAGACCTGAAAATGTACCCTTTCAATTGCAAATATGTTAGTCATCATTGTGGAAGAATCATTAATCTTAATAACAGGAAACTTACAGACTAACTCAACCAGCTTCCCTGGCCACCAATCTGTTGCTCCATATGTCTAAATCTAAAGCAGAG